TCCCTCCCTCTGCTCTTTCCATCCCTCCCCACCCTCCCCACCCCCTCAAGCTTAGGCTGCCAGACAGCTGTCCATGTGGGTCCCCTCCACAGAGTTTCCTGGTGGGCAACCCCGCCCCCCATTTCAGGACTGACTCCCGGCTGGAGGTCAGGGCGTGGGAATGAGTCATCAGCTGGATGGGGGGGTGGTTCCCAGACGGTGCCAAGTGTCACGTGCTCCCAATCACACGCTGCTCTCAGGGCACCCTGCAAACCCCACGCCACATCCTTCCCACCAGCAGGTCTGCTCGGCTATGCCTGCACTTTGGCCGGGGCAGGGATCCGGGACAAGTAGGGCCTGAGCCCTCAGAGGAGCGAGGACTTGAGGCCTGCCCTTGAGGGACAGGCCTGGAGCAGCCAGCCAGCCCTCTTCCCCTGGCACCCACCCTCCCCTTACCCCCGGGAGAGCACCACTCTCACCATTTCCACCGCCTCTCTCGGGCTTTACTTCCCCATCCACACACATCTGCTCGGCAGGCCCCTGCCCCCACCCAGCTGTCCAATCTCTCAGACAACCTGGGTGGCCAGCAGGGCAGGGCACATGATCTCTACTTTTCAGACAGGAACCAACAAGGTCTGGCAAAAGCAAGGGCCGTGCCGAGGCCACCCAGCCCACGGTGGCTAGGCAGGCCTGGAAGCCAGGCACCCACCTCCCAGCTGCTGGGCACCTCACCCTCGTCACACGGGCCTGCCTTGGCCTCAGCCCTTTCCAAACGCCCGCACCCGTGCCCACAGGCGCCCACTCAGGCCCGATCGCTGCATGCCCTTCAAGGGGGCTGGGAAAACAGTGGGAATAGGCCAGCTCAGTCTGTCCTTCCATTCCAGTGGGGGAAAGACCACTGACAGGAATGCAAACATCAACGAGCCAGCCATTCGTGCAACGAGGAAAAGCAAGGAGGCCCTGGTGCTGGGGGTCACATGAACCCTCTGTGAGATGGAAATCGGGAGAAGCCCCGCTGAGGCGCCAAGTGGACCCTCACCATCTCTTCCTCTAGCTCTCACCGCCAGGAATCCCCCAACCCCAGGCGGGCCTGATGGAGGCTTGCTCACTCAGGCCAACACCCCTAGAGGCCACCCCGCCCTTCTCCTCCACAGCAGAGCGGCCCCTCAGTCAGGGCAAGGCTCAGCCAAGCGGGAACCCTGGGCTGGGCCCCCCTCTTCTCGAGCGCTGCCTTCTCCCAGCCCTGCGGCTCTCCTTACCTCCTGGCCCAGGCACTTTTCCATCAGAATTGCCTCTCTCCCAATGCAGACTCACCAACTCCTCTATCACCCCGTGGCCTCTGGGGTCACGTCACTACAGCACCTCTTCTGTCACTCTTCCCACTCAGATGACACCCCCCACACCACACACACCTCATGCTTTCCTAGAGCCGTACAGCCCAACTTCCACCAGTCTCCCACCCCTGGGCCAAGACCGGCCAACTCCTCCCTGCCCAGCCTAAGACCCTTCACCCTCCCAACCAGTGGCTCCCAGACTACCTTTCTATACCATGGTTTCTCGACAGCTGGCAAATCTTCGGCCACCCTCAGCTCAAAGGCTTGTCAACAGCCCACTGCCCTCCCCAGGCATAAAGACCACCCCGCTGCTCCTTGGCATTGACAGGCCCTTCAATTTGTCTGCGAATCCATCGCCCAAACTTGACTTCACCAATGACCCCTCCACGACCCAGGCCCAAGACCACGCAACTCCCCCACTGCCTGGCCAGCTCAACGCCCCTCCTCAGCCCAGACAGACCAATTCTTCCGGCCCAGAACGTGACCGACTGACCGCTCCATGCCATCACCTCTCCACCACAGATCACCATCTCTGGAGTGGGAGTCCTCATCACCTGTCCTTGGTGCCCCTTTCTGAACCCTCAGGAATGAGATACACCCCAGCCTGCGAGCTATCACCAGGCCCACCCTTAATCAGGGCAGACCAATCAGCAGCCCTCCTTTCCACTCCCAGGCAGGCTCCAACCGACTGACCCTCTATCTTGACATTCTTCCCTCCTCTGAAAAGCCTTCACCGCCTCCCCAAGGCTGTCCAATACTTCAGCCCCTGGGGAGTGGTAAAGTATGGTAGAATATTTAAAAAAGAAAAGCTACCCTAAGGTCGGTTCTGATGCTCCGTGACCCCAAGCGCATCAGAGTAAAACCCGCGCCCCACGGGGCTGTGAGGGCTGAGTTCCGGAAGCAGGTCACCAGGACTTTCCTCCGAGGCACCTCTGTGAGGACTCGAACGTCCCACCTTTCCGTCGGCAGTCAAGCACGTTAACTGTCCGCACCTCAGGGCCGCCACGTGAGTAACAGCAGCTGCTTACTGAGGTCCTACTAGGTGGCAAGGCCTGACAGGGGCTATCTTAACTCTTACAACACCCTCCGGCAGAAACGAACACCTCCATCTGCCGAGAAAGAAACCTGGAGGCTCAGAGAGGAAAGAGGATTCCTCAAAGCCAAACAGCCGGTTACAAACAGCTGGTCCTCCCCTGGGAACCCACAGACCAGAAACTTCCCTTCCCAACCTGTGCCAAACTATCCAGCCGCCGCTCCCCCCGCCGCCCGACCCTCGGGCCCCCACGCTGCCCATCCTCTCTTTCCCTTTCCCAGGGAGCTACCCACAACCTTCAAATCACAAACTCTTTGGTCTCTGGGCAGACCCTCTCTTTTCCTCAGCCCAGCTAAGGCAGTTTTTCCAGCTCCTTCAGCTGACCATCTTTTTACTTACCCCTGGGTCAAACCTCTCCATCTCCTTCCCTCCCCACAACTGACTACCACCGCTGGGCCTCTTGTGGAAACAACCAATAGCATCATCCAGGCCCCAACCCCAGAGCCAAGTCCTCTCGAACCATAGGCACTGCCTTCGAGTCAATTCTGACTCACAGCGACCCCCACTAGGTTTCCAAGGCAGTAGATCTTTAGGAAGCTGACTGCTTCATCTTTCTGCTGCAGAGTGGCTGGTGGGTTCAAACCACCAACCTTTTAGTTAGCAGCCAAATGCCTTAACCACTACATCACCAGAGATCTTCAGCTCCTCCATACTGGCCCCCAAAAGGACCAACAACGCCTTAATAATAATAACAGCAACTACGACTTCACACGGGCTCACTCCGGCCAATCATGTCCTACGCTTCTGGTTCTTTCATCAGCTCTGGAGCATGGGTATCGTCACTCACTTGACAGATGAGAAAACTGAGGCTCAGGGAGTAAATGACCAGCCCAAGGTCACAAAGTGGCTGAGCGCTGGAACCAGGATGTGACCTAGAGCCTCCGCTCCTGACCAGGCCGCTCCCCCTTCCTGCTCCGAATGCCCCAGACTGGAAACCATGCTACCGCCAGAGCCCGTCTGACTCTTCCCTTCTTTGATCTCAACCTCCCAAGGCCTCCATCCCCAAACTGACCTCCTACCCCAAGGGCCTAGAGCCCAAGAACCTGGCTGGCTCCCAATGGCAAGAGTCTTAAACTCCTCAGCTCTCTGTAACAATAACCAGTCAAGCTGGCATTCACAGCTACTCCCTGTGTGTTCAGCTTCCAGTTAGTTACCATGTTACCCATCCTCACAGCCACCCCCAGGATCTCAGCCACCCACTCCCCCGTTGCCCACAGACTGGAAACTGTTACTGCTCCTTTCCCTGAAAGGCTAGCAGACCAACTTCTAAAAGGCCATAACCGCCTGATCGCACTCTGCCTGGGCTCTAGCCCAAGAGGCCTCCGGAGAACAGACTCACACTGCCATCCACCTCCCAAGGGCCCACAGACCTGCAACTTCCTGCTTCCCCTGCTCCAGTGTGCAACACACTCCTCCAGCTGCCCTTTCAGTGCCAACATCTCAAACCCGTCTCCCAACATCTCAAACCACCAAATAGACTCACCCCGTCTCCCAGTATCTCCAGCCACCAAACTTCCTTAATGCTCCCACCTTCTACGGACCAAAAACCAAAACCGAACTCACTGCCATCGAGTCAATTTCGACTCCTAGCGACTCCCATTGGGTTTCCAAGGCTTTCCGGAAGTAGACTGCCCCATCTTCCTTCCGAGGAGCAGCTGGTGGGTTTGAACCACTGACCTTCTGGTTAGCAGCCAAATGCCTTATCCACTACGCCACCAGAGCTCCTTTCTACAGCAAGTCCAATTCCTGCCCGATCCTTTGTTTCTGCCCAGTGGATTCCAAGTCACGGCAACCCCAGGCATGCAGAGCAGAACTGCCCCGCACTGTGACCTTTCAGAAGCACGTCTCCAGCCCTGTCTTTGGAGGCGCTTCTGGTTACATTTAAACCTGCAACCTTTAGTCTAGCAGCTGGGCACTTAACCCTGGTACCACCCAGGGACTCCCCTTGTGACCTGACAACATTCTCCAACTCTTTCCAGGAAAAAAAAAGGAAGCCCCTTCTATAGCCAGGATCCTGAATAACCAACCACTTTCTGCTTCCCCTTTTTTGTGTGTGGGGGAAGAGGGAGCACCCAGTGAATTTCCTGAGATCCAAAGCCGCCTCTGAGGATCTCACCCCACCCTCACATTGCCCACCAACTCTCCGACCCACTTGGCTCCTTTTCTGGGAGTGAACCCTGTTTTCCCAGCCCCAGGATCTACCAATTTTTGTACAGTCACAGTCCAGTGTATGCCCCTCTCTCCCTTCAACCAAGAAAACGAGCAACACCAGCACCCAGAGCTTGCGGACGAGCAATATACCTTCGTTCCATCCCCACGGGCCTATCAAACTATTTCCACTGCCCTTTCACAGCGAGTCTTTCTCCGTGAGCGCTCTCTCTTGTCCTCCCGGGGAACTATATACTTAAAGGACATAAGACAACTACTTTTCACCTTCCCAATCCTATAACCACTCTTCTACCCACGTCCAGCTCCAAACTGTCTCCCGTAGTCATCATCAGGTGTAACTTAATGAGCGCCACCTCCTTGCCGAGCGCTGCACTGACCCTTCGCGACACCCAGGTCCCCCACGAGCCCGCCCCCGCCGTTGCTACCGTGTCTCCAGGGATCTTTGGGCTCCACCGCGCCGGACACGATATCCTCGTCGGAAGGGAACGTGACGCGCTTGGCTGCAGCCTTGAGGCGACCGTCGGCTGGGGGCGATGCGGGACTGGGGGGCCGAGCCTCGGCAGGGGCCGCCTCGGCGTCGCCGTCCGCGCCCGGCCCGGGCGGCACCTCCTGCGGCGGGAGTTCCATCTCCGCCGCCGCCGCCGCCTCCTCACGGGGGCCCCGGGGACATGCCCCGGGCCCCGGGCTTGTCTCTCCGGGTCCGCCCGCCGTCCCGGGGCATGGGCTCCGCCGCTGCTTCAGGCGCCGCCTCCGTCCACTCTCCTCGTCGTCGTAGTCGTCGCCGCCGGGAGCCCAAGCGCCCCTGCTCGTCCGCAGCCGCACTTTCGCTAAAGCCCGGTGAGCTTGTTGTCTACTAAGAGAAGCAGAAAATCAATTTAAGCTACTTTCAGGTAGAATTGGTTCTCAGATGACGTGGAGGGAAAAACAAAGAGCAGAAAGACACGGAGAAAAAAAGCGTGAGCAGTGAATCTGCAGAGCAAGAACTGCAGAATGTGAGAGGCGGGGCGAGACGGACGCCGTCTCCCAGAGCAGCGCGCAAGCGCGAACCTGAACCCCACCCCCAACCCCCCGCCTAATGTTCGTACTCGCACTCATTTGTCACGAGCCCAGGTGGCTGACAAGGGAATGGAGTTGATAGAAATAAAAACATCTGTTTGGCGGGGTTAGGCTAACTGATAAAGATAGAGGCAAAAGGATGGAGAAGTTGAAAGGCAACAGGAGTTCTGTTGAATATAAATATTGGTGATGGATGCGGACGAGGGGGGATCCGCTGCCTTGAGATGAAGCCCAAGCCCCCTTGCTAGTCTCTAGCCTACCACTTGCAGACTGCAGTTTCATCGGTATTTCTCTGTACTTGGATAGCATTGCTTAAGATATAAATTAATACTATATGATAAAGCAAGCACAAACCCAGAAAGATAGCATATCCTTAGTGTTTTTTTAACCGTGAGAAGAAATGTCCCACGTGAGCGACGAATCTGCCAACCAAAGTAGCGGGTGCTTGTAGCGACCCGGGGCTAGTTTAAGCCACGCCCTTCACGTATTTAATCCAATCGCTTAGTATTGGTCTCCGCACTTTCGCCATACTTCCAGAGCCAGTCCTACGACCGGGAGAAGGCGGAGCTAAAAACCAAAGAAGGACGTCGTTACCAGGGGAACCCGAGAACTGGGCCCGGCACTTGGCCAGCGGTGGCAGAGGTGGCGTTGTGAATGGAAGGCTCAGAACTGTGCTCATCTACTCGCTCCATTCAACAATGGCCGCCGCACTTTCGCCAGTAAGACTAACAAAAACTTACCTACCTTTTAATGGGATTCTTTGCTTACATTCTGAACTTGAAGGGGCTACAAAAGGAACCAGAAGCAGCTAACCGTGTGGCTCATCAAGTGACAAGGCCCTGGGAAGCGAGTAGATGAACTGAGATGTGAGCTGCCATGCTACATCGCTAGAGCGACATGGAGAAAGGGCGAACGAAGCTTCATGTCCCTGTGCCCACCCTAACCCCTAATCTTCAACCTTTCCTCAGTGGTGCCAAGGCACGGGGTCCATCACAAGCGCAGGCTAGGAGTGAATCTTTCACGTATACTACGACCACCAGGAGGCAGAGCAATGGGAGGGGCACTTCAGGGTACATTCCCCCGCACCCAGAATTGAGATAAATTCCGACCGTTTCCCAATCCTGGCATCCAGGCCCCTCCAGCCACTCTCTGAGCCGTCATCCAATTGCTGCACTTTTATCCGGGTTCCTCCTCCCACCCCCACCCCACGCCCCATGGCCCAGCTACAGGACACTTGGCTCCTAGAGGCCTCCATCCCCCCAAAACCAAACCCGTTGCTGTCCAGTCAATTCTAGGACAAAACAGAACTGCCCCGTAGGGTTTCCAAAGCTGTAAATCTTCATGGAAGCAGACTGTCACGTCTTCCTCACCCGCAGCGGCTGGTGGATTCAAACCACCAACCTTTGGGTTAGCAGCTGACCACTGTGTCACCAGGGCTCCTGTCCCACCTCCCTACCACCCCCACACACCTGTCTTGAGCCCTGTGGGCCGTGCGCGCGCACGCACACACACACACACACACATACACACAAACACACAAAGAAACAGGAGTCTAATTTTCTTGGGACAACTGGTTCTTTGGTAGGAAGGGAGTATCTTCAGGAGGGCTGGACTTGCAATACCTTCAGTGAACGACTGCCCCCCCTAACCTGCTTCCCTTTCTTCCCCCAGCCTTCCGCAACCGCAACGGAGTTCAGAGTTCCGTGAGGTACAGCATTCCTTTCAGCAGGACCTAGAACTCCTAGGATTGCAGAATTTGAATGACTAAGCCCTGGAGCTTCGGAGGAACCAGAGTTGCTGGGAGCTTGGCTCGGAATTCCGAGGGGGCTGAGAACCTTCCAGGGCCCCCCCCCCCGAGTTCCCTGGGGGTGAGACTCCAGCATGCCTGGAACCTCAGGAACAGCTGGGCTGCCGTGGCTAAGGCAGAAGGTGAGCGCAGAAGGGTCTTTAGGGCTTGAAAGTGTACGCAATGATGTCACTGCATCGGAGCAGTGCCTCAGCCTGCACACCTATCGGGGTCTGCAGCTGCGACACGTAGAAGTTGGCCACGTCCAGGTCGGCGGCTCCAAAGCAGGCCGTCACACGCACACCCTCGTGCAGCGTGAAGCTCACCTGGCGACCCCCCATGGCCAGCAGGCTTCGGAGGTAGCGCTCCCGCTGGACGGCTCGGGCCCGCTGTTCCTGGCATTCCAGAGACTCTCCAAGTCTGGGGGACTCCTGGGTTTCGGGCGCCTCTGGCTTCAGGAGGGCCCTGCGTGCGTCGGGGGCAAAGCCCCGGCTGTAGCCGTCAGGGCCCCGAGGCAGCCGGAGCACGGGCACAGGCATGCTCAGTGGCGTCTGCATTGCCCTGGCTGCTGGGGGAGAAGAGCAGGGAGGCATCAGAGAGGGGGTGTGAGGACTGAAAGGTGGAGGGGTGCAGAGGCATATCTACCAGGCACCTCAAACAGAAACTGTCCAATCCTGACTCCTGAGCCTCCCTCCTAAAATGTACACCATCTCCACCCCTGCCACCATCTCCCTTCTCAGGAACTGGCACCTTCAGCCACCCAGAGGCCTTGGCCAGGATGAGAGTATTATACACACCGGAATGGGAGTACCATTCCAAACCAAAAACCAAACTTACCGTTGAGTCGGATCCAACTCATAGTGACCCCTCCTTAGGTTTCCAAGGTGGTATCACTATGGAAGTAAATTGTCCAACCTTTCTTACAAGGAGTGGCTGGTGGGTTTGAACCACCAGTCTTCTGGTTAGCAGAAATATGCCTTAGGCACTACACCATCCCATGAGCACCTTTTTTGTTGTTGTTATGTGCCATCGAGTCAGACCTGACTCCTAACGACCCCTCCTTGGGTTTCCGAGGCGGTATCACTACAGGAGTAGATTGCCCAACCTTCCTTCCGAGGAGTGGGTTTGAACCACCAGCCTTCTGGTTAACAGTCAAGTGCCTTATGCACTACACTACCAGAGCTCCTGTGAGCACCTTTGGGGCAGGGTAAACTATACTTGCTGAGAGAAGCCCGGCCTCCCCTGCCCATCCATGCAATCCATCAGCAAGTCCTATCTTCCAAGTGCACTCTCAATCAATCACACAGGAGCCAGTCTGAAAGGGCTCCCACTGGCCAAATCTAGAGCAACGTGAGCATTAAAATTAGGATCGTGGGGCTTCCTAGATCTTCCAGAACATTCATGCAGGTGGGAGGTGCCAGGAAACTTCATGCCAGCCCCGCCCCACAAGATCTTGCCATTGGCCCTTATGCCAGAATCCATACCAGGGGCCCACACACTTTTCTGCAAAAGGCCAAATAAGCAGAACTGCTCCGTGGGGTTTTCTTGGCCACAATCTTTACAGAAATAGATTATCAGGTCTCTCACCCATGGTGCCATGGGGTGGGTCCAAACTACCAACCTTTAGAAGCAGCTGTCTCCAGAGCTAGATGGTGCCCAGCTACCACTACCAACCGCTCTGATCGGGATCACAACCAAAGGTCCTGGACAAAGTAGGAGAGAAATGGAGAAGGAAATTCAGAATCATAGAAATGACCAGACTTACCGGCTTGACAGACACTGGTGGAAGACTGAGACAATGGCCCTTAAACACCTTTCAAACCTAGAACTGAACCGACGCCTAGGAATCACCTTCAGCCAAACAACAGCCAGCTTTACCAAGTGAATAATCACACCCGTGGAACACACTCCTCAGAATAACCAACCAGGCGAGGCGAGAACAGCAGCATGTGCGCAAACACACAGCTCAGCAGGCAGGAAGGGGCAGGAAAGAAGGGTGAACGGGAAAGAGGAAACTCGGGAGGAAGTGGGGAGAGGGCTGTCACACTGGGGGGACTGCAGCCGATGTCACAGAGCACAACGGGCGTAAAGGGTTGGGTGGAAAACGAATTTGCTCTGTGAACTTTCACCCAAACCACAATTAAAAAAAAAAAGCAGTAGCACCTGGCGTCATACAGATTATTGGAAAGGCTAACCAAAGGCTCAGGGCCCGCCCGCTGCTGTCTAATAGATTCTAGCTCATCGCGACACTGTAGGACAGAGAACTGCCCCATAGAGTTTCCTCGTCGTCAAATCTTTATGGGAGCAGATTGCCTTATCTTCTCCCCATGGAAGGGCTGGTGGGTTCGAACCAATGACCTTTTGGTTACCAGTCAAATGCCTTAACCGCTGTGCCGCCAGAGTGCCCTTCAGTTAGGGCACCATTTGGAAAACACCTCCTTGCAAGGCTGGGATAGTGTCCTGCAGGATGTGGGATCACTCTGAGCCAGCCGACGGTACCGACCTACCACGGCTTCTCTCACTGCCGGCCTACACGGGTCTGGGAACCAAGGAGTGGAAAAGGACAGTGGCACCTCGCAATGTGACATCTAATGAGCCACTAAATAAAAACAAAATAATGATCATCACAGATTATAACCTGCAGAATAAAAGAAATCCACGAGTCCAGTCAGGTGAAGAAATAAAAGGGGAGAAGGAAGAGCTCTTCCACACAGTGGTGGCGGTGTCGATAGATGCCACTGAGTCAGCTCTGACTCATAGCGACCCCGTGTGCAACCAAACGAAACCCTGCCCGGTCCTGCACCAGCCTCACAGTCCCTGCTGTACCTGAGCCCATCGCTGCAGCCACCGTGTCACCGAGGGCCTTCCCCTTTTTTGCTGACCCTCCACTTTACCCAGCATGATACCCTTTTCAAGGGAACGGTCCCTTCTGACAACATGAGCAAAGTAGGTGAGATGAAGTCTGGCCATTCCTGCTTCCAAGGAGCATTCTGACTGCACTCCTTCCAGGACAGATGTGTTAGTTCTTGTGGCAGTCCACAGTACTTTCAGTATTCTTTGCCAGCACCACAACTCAAAAGCTTCAACTCTTCTTCAGTCTTCCTTATTCATTGTCCAGTCTTCACATGCGTATGAAGCAATTGAAAATACCGTAGCTTGGATTAGGTGCACAGCAGAATTAAAAAAAAAAATCTCACTGCCATCAAATCAGTTCCAACTCACAGCAACCCATATTGGGTTTCCAAGGCCGTAAATCTTTACAGAAGCAGACTGCCTCCTCTTTCATCCACGGAGCAGCTGGGTTCAAACCACTGACCTTCTGGTTAGTAGGCAAATGCCTTAACCACTCCACTATCAGGGCTCCTTTTACAGTACAATGGCAGGTACTAAGTATGAAAGGGATGCTAAAACTAGCGGGTGAGCATTTGGTGAGGCACAAGATCATCTACATCATCTTAAAGTACCTCCTCACTAGGTATTCATTCATTGTCAAGGGCAAAGAGTAGCTTTATAGTGGAGAAGCTTTGTGGACACGACTTGAACTTCATGAACGGAGCAAACTGACACCATGTGCCTCCTGATATCACAAACTGAGGAGGACAAGCTTTGCTTCCATGGTATTCCTGCCAAAAGCGCATGGCCTGAGCCTAGTCAGGGGGTTGCTGTGAGTCAGAATCGACTCGGAGGCAACCAACAACCATAAGGACACACCCAGATTGCAGAACACTGTATAGAACATGTGTTCAAATACTAAGGCCACAAAAGACAAAGACTGAGGGAAAATACACACGATTCATAGGCCTAAGGAGCCCTGATGGTGCAGGGTTAACTGCTCGGCTGCTAACTGAAAGGCTGGTGGTTCAAACTCAGCAGCAGGAGAAAGATGAAGCTGTCATTATAGCTTTGGAAACCCTACGAGGCAGTTTTACTCTGTCTTATAGGGTCACAACCAACCTGATGGCAGTAGGTTGATGGTTTCGGCTTCTTATTTATTCACAAGTCCATGCGTAATGCAAACAGTTCGCACTCAACGACTAACCAAAAGGTTAGTGGCTCAAACCCATCCAACGGCACTGCAGAAGAAAGGCCTGGCAATTTGCTTTCATCAAGATTTCAGCCAAGAAAATCCTAGAGTAGTTCCATGCTGTGACATAGGGGATGCCACGAATTGGAATCGACTCCATGGCAACGAGTTTGTTTTTTTAATATGTATTCATAACCCAACACTTGCCACACCCTCCGCTGCCAACATCCCGATTCAGTTCCCATCACTCCCCCAGGGCCGTTGGAGCACTTCCTCACTGGCTTTCCAGCTTCCGCCTTCACCAACATCCCCTAGTCTGTTCCCCAAGAGGACCACGCTGGCTCTCCACCTCCATCCCATTGGCCACCTCGCTGACCCTTAGCCACGGGCCCTTCTGAGCCCTGCACTAGCTGTCCCCTCTGTCTCCTTGCCCCTCCTGACCACCCTGCCTCACAGATCTGCCCTTCATCCTTCTCCACCCCCGCCCTCGGCTTCATTGCTCTTCGTAACACTCATCATGACACCACATATTTGCTGTCTATGGCTGTCTCCTCCGCCAGCTGGTTGCCTCTGTGAGGGCAGGGCCCTTGCTCTTCGTGCTGCCAAGTCCCCAGTTCCTGGAACAGTGCCTGGCACAGAGACCCAAAAAAAACCATGAAACCAAACCTGTGGCCAGTGAGCTGATACGGACTCGTCGTGAGAACAGCAGGTGACAGCCCTTGCTGCTCAGGTGCCTCTGGGTGGACGCGAGCGGCCCCTTTCCGCTAGCCGACGGAACACCAACCACGAGCAGCACCACGGACTCCCACACAGACCAAAAAAAAGAAAAAGACCAACCCCATTGCATGCAGTCATTCCGATTCAGCAATAGGACAGGGTAGACCCGTCCCACGGGGTTTCGTGGGCTATAATCTTTATGGAAGCAGACTGCCACATCTTTCTCCTGCGAGAGGCTGGTGGATTCCAACCACTGACCTTCTGGATCAGCAGCCAAGGATTTAACCACTGTACCAGCAGGGTGGGCTCCTTCCAACACACACCACGTTGTATATGAAAGCTAGTGCTGCTATTGTTAATATGGTTACTATGACCTGGGTAAGTTACTTAACTGCACCGTGCCTTGGTTTCTCTATCTGTAAAATGGGGCTGATAAGAGGGAAGGTGGTGGTGGGAGCTCTGGTGGCGTAGTGCCTAAGGCTAACCAGAAGGCTCGCGGTTCAAACCCACCAGGTACTCCTCGGAAGGAAGGTTGGGCAATCTACTTCCATAGTGATACCGCCTCGGAAACCCAAGGAGGGGTCGCTATGAGTCGGATCAGACTTTTGGCTTGGAAGAGGGAAGGTTGGGCAATCTACTTCTGTAGTGATACCGCCTCGGAAACCCAAGGAGGGGTCACTATGAGTCGGGTCTGACTCAACGACATATAACAACAACAACAAGAGGCCTGAACTCACAGGGTCGCCATGGGGGTCAAATAACCTAACAAATGTACCGTGTTGAGCACACACCTAGAACTTACTAAGATGCCACTTG